ATGACAGCTGCTTTACTGTTAATGCTCCTACAACTGGGACTGGTCGTGTGAATGGGTGAATGGCTGGTCGTGTGACTGGGTGAATGGCTGGTCTTGTGAATGGGTGAATGGCTGGTCTTGTGACTGGGTGAATGGCTGGTCGTGTGACTGGGTGAATGTCTGGTCGTGTGACTGGGTGAATGGCTGGTCTTGTGACTGGGTGAATGGCTGGTCTTGTGAATGGCTGGTCTTGTGAATGGCTGGTCTTGTGAATGGGTGAATGGCTGGTCTTGTGACTGGGTGAATGGCTGGTCGTGTGACTGGGTGAATGGCTGGTCGTGTGACTGGGTGAATGGCTGGTCTTGTGACTGGGTGAATGGCTGGTCTTGTGAATGGCTGGTCTTGTGAATGGCTGGTCTTGTGACTGGGTGAATGGCTGGTCTTGTGACTGGGTGAATGGCTGGTCGTGTGACTGGGTGAATGGCTGGTCTTGTGACTGGGTGAATGGCTGGTCGTGTGACTGGGTGAATGGCTGGTCGTGTGACTGGGTGAATGGCTGGTCTTGTGACTGGGTGAATGGCTGGTCTTGTGACTGGGTGAATGGTTGGTCTTGTGACTGGGTGAATGGCTGGTCTTGTGACTGGGTGAATGGCTGGTCTTGTGACTGGGTGAATGGCTGGTCTTGTGAATGGGTGAATGGCTGGTCTTGTGAATGGGTGAATGGCTGGTCTTGTGACTGGGTGAATGGCTGGTCTTGTGAATGGCTGGTCTTGTGAATGGCTGGTCTTGTGACTGGGTGAATGGCTGGTCTTGTGAATGGCTGGTCTTGTGAATGGCTGGTCTTGTGACTGGGTGAATGGCTGGTCTTGTGACTGGGTGAATGGCTGGTCTTGTGACTGGGTGAATGGTTGGTCTTGTGACTGGGTGAATGGCTGGTCTTGTGAATGGGTGAATGGCTGGTCTTGTGAATGGGTGAATGGTTGGTCTTGTGACTGGGTGAATGGCTGGTCTTGTGAATGGGTGAATGGTTGGTCTTGTGACTGGGTGAATGGCTGGTCTTGTGAATGGGTGAATGGCTGGTCTTGTGACTGGGTGAATGGCTGGTCTTGTGACTGGGCGAATGGCTGGTCGTGTGACTGGGTGAATGGCTGTGTTATAAGGTGTCACTGTAATAGAAAATGTACTGTAAGGTGAGGCCTTTCATCTCTAACTTCTCTCTCTCCTATTGGTTGACTGATCTGACCTTTGACCTCTTCTCTCTCCTATAGGCTGACTGGTCCCTCAGGGTTCCTGACAGACGGACCAGGGAACTACAAGTACAAGACCAAGTGCACCTGGCTGATTGAGGGAAAGTCAGTTCAACTATAGACTAACAGCACCACATATCCCACAAATATACTTTTACATGATCTTTACATTTCAATCAGGGCAGTTATCAGTACAAGACCAAGTGAACCTGGGTGATTGAGGGAACGTCAGTTCAACTATAGACTAACGGCACCACAGCAACACGCGTCTACCCTGCACCATGTCACTGAAAGATGGGCCCAAGCTACAGTGTCAGTTTATTAGGTACACCGCCCCGTTCACCAAAATGTTTCGCTCCTACAGACAGTGAGTCGCATGGCCCAAGCAGGCATCGAGGCATTCAGTTACTGTTCTATTGAACGTTAAAATTGGCAAAACGAGTGATCTGAGCGACTTTGAGCCTGGTTATATCGTCGGTTCCAGTATCTCAGAAACGGCCTCCTGGGCTTTTCACACACAACAGTGTCCAGGGTTTACTGAGAATGGTGCGATAAACAAAAGACATCCAGTCAGCGGCAGTCCTGTGGGCGAAAACAGCTGGTTGATGAGAGAGGTCGAAGGAGAAATGCAAGAATCATGCAATCTAACAGGCGGGCCACAAACAGGCAAATAACTGCGTAGTACAACCGTGGTGTGCAGAACAGCATCTCGGAACACACAACTCGTAGGTCCTTGTCACGGATGGGTTATTGCAGCAGACAACCACACCGGGTTCCACTCCTATCAGCTAAAAACAAGAAGAATCGGATCCAGTGGGCACACTGTGACCAACACTGGTTCCTGTTGCGTCATGCTGATGGCAGAGTCAGGATATGGCCCCATCCTGCCTGGTGTCAACGGTACAGGCTGTTGGTGTAATGGTGTGGGGAATGTTTTCCTGGCACACGTTAGGTCCCTTGATACCAATTTGAGCAATGTTTCCATCCCCGAGTAAATCAGGCTGTTCTGGAGGCAAAGGGGGTGGCCGACCCCGGTACGTTGGGGTGGCCAACGTGGTCCTCTGTAGCTCAGCTGGTAGAGCACGGCGCTTGTAACGCCAGGGTAGTGGGTTCGATCCCCGGGACCACCCATACGTAAAAATGTATGCACACATGACTGTAAGTCGCTTTGGATAAAAGCGTCTGCTAAATGGCATATTATTATATTAGGTGGGTGTACCTAATAAACTGGCCATTGAGAGTCTATAGCCAAGCTTCTCTTAAAGATCAACCAAAAATATGTTGCTATTTATTAATAGAAAGTTATACTAAGTGATAATCTAAGCTAAGCTTCATAACATGCAGTGATGTTTGTATTAAAAGGTTTTGCCGTTTCATTCTCTATGCAAATCTAGATGTTTCATTTACATGAAGCGTGTAGGGCACGCAGTTATCAGGACGGAGTTATCAGCACTTAGCTTCAACCCAGTAGTTTATCTTCTGAATCCAAATCACAAGAATGTTGATAAAAACTAAGTGATAAACTGGAATGTAATAACCCATGTAGACATCTGCTCATTCTGCTGTGGGACTCTTAGAAGAGCAGAGCTGCTAGCTAATGAAGAGCAGAGCTGCTAGCTAATGAAGAGCAGAGCTGCTAGCTAATGAAGAGCAGAGCTGCTAGCTAATGAAGAGCAGAGCTGCTAGCTAATGAAGAGCAGAGCTGCTAGCTAATGAAGAGCAGAGCTGCTAGCTAATGAAGAGCAGAGCTGCTAGCTAATGAAGAGCAGAGCTGCTAGCTAATGAAGAGCAGAGCTGCTAGCTAATGAAGAGCAGAGCTGCTAGCTAATGAAGAGCAGAGCTGCTAGCTAATGAAGAGCAGAGCTGCTAGCTAATGAAGAGCAGAGCTGCTAGCTAATGAAGAGCAGAGCTGCTAGCTAATGAAGAGCAGAGCTGCTAGCTAATGAAGAGCAGAGCTGCTAGCTAATGAAGTGAGGACAATCCACCGGCTGCAGCCCGAATGCCTCCCTATATAGTGCACTGCTTTTGACCAGGACCCAGAGGGCTTTAACAGGGCTCTGGTGTAAAGGAGTGCGCTATATAGAGAATAAGGTGTCGTTTGGGACGCGGACGGTGTCTTCTAGAACAACCCCACTGACCTCCAGCACCGGCCATCTGGTGCAGAGACAAAGATGTGATTGTGCTTTTTAATAGACTACTTATCCGTGACCAGACAACTTAAAATATCCCACTCTCATTCCTAACAACAAATCTCTCTGACCCTTCTGCCTCTGAATGATGTGATTTGTGAAAATGTAAAGTATTCCAGAGGTGAAGATATTGATATTTTTTTTACAAGCATTGCCAAGCATTACATGAGTGCTCATAGTAACAACATTTTTAATATTCTGGGTTTTCCGCTCCACTGAAAACTGTTGACCATTTAGCACTGAGCTTATAGCAATTACTTATTTCTTCAAATTGAACCACATGCAACCGTGAAATTCAGCCAAGACCCTTTTTCAACACCATCCTCAAACTGAAGTTTACCCAGATCCAGATTTAGCTTAACAGTGTTTCCTAGACCTGAGTTTATTCATGTTTAGTTGAACTCTTAATAGTTTTTTCCAACAGCATCCTAACTGTGTTCTGTCTCGGTCCTGCAGGCCCGACAGCATCCTAACTGTTCTGTCTCGGTCCTGCAGGCCCGACAGCATCCTAACTGTTCTGTCTCGGTCCTGCAGGCCCGACAGCATCCTAACTGTGTTCTGTCTCGGTCCTGCAGGCCCGACAGCATCCTAACTGTTCTGTCTCGGTCCTGCAGGCCCGACAGCATCCTAACTGTGTTCTGTCTCGGTCCTGCAGGCCCAACAGCATCCTAACTGTGTTCTGTCTCGGTCCTGCAGGCCCAACAGCATCCTAACTGTGTTCTGTCTCGGTCCTGCAGGCCCGACAGCATCCTAACTGTTCTGTCTCGGTCCTGCAGGCCCGACAGCATCCTAACTGTGTTCTGTCCTCGGTCCTGCAGGCCCAACAGCATCCTAACTGTGTTCTGTCTCGGTCCTGCAGGCCCAACAGCATCCTAACTGTGTTCTGTCTCGGTCCTGCAGGCCCGACAGCATCCTAACTGTTCTGTCTCGGTCCTGCAGGCCCGACAGCATCCTAACTGTGTTCTGTCTCGGTCCTGCAGGCCCAACAGCATCCTAACTGTGTTCTGTCTCGGTCCTGCAGGCCCAACAGCATCCTAACTGTGTTCTGTCTCGGTCCTGCAGGCCCGACAGCATCCTAACTGTTCTGTCTCGGTCCTGCAGGCCCGACAGCATCCTAACTGTGTTCTGTCTCGGTCCTGCAGGCCCAACAGCATCCTAACTGTTCTGTCTCGGTCCTGCAGGCCCAACAGCATCCTAACTGTGTTCTGTCTCGGTCCTGCAGGCCCGACAGCATCCTAACTGTGTTCTGTCTCGGTCCTGCAGGCCCAACAGCATCCTAACTGTGTTCTGTCTCGGTCCTGCAGGCCCGACAGCATCCTAACTGTGTTCTGTCTCGGTCCTGCAGGCCCGACAGCATCCTAACTGTTCTGTCTCGGTCCTGCAGGCCCAACAGCATCCTAACTGTTCTGTCTCGGTCCTGCAGGCCCAACAGCATCCTAACTGTTCTGTCTCGGTCCTGCAGGCCCAACAGCATCCTAACTGTGTTCTGTCTCGGTCCTGCAGGCCCAACAGCATCCTAACTGTGTTCTGTCTCGGTCCTGCAGGCCCAACAGCATCCTAACTGTGTTCTGTCTCGGTCCTGCAGGCCCAACAGCATCCTAACTGTGTTCTGTCTCGGTCCTGCAGGCCCGACAGCATCCTCAGACTGAGGTTGGACCACTTTGCTACAGAGTGCAGCTGGGACCACCTGTATGTCTACGATGGGGACTCTATCTACACCCCTCTACTGGCTGCCTTCAGGTGGGTACAGGGAGGACGGGGGTGGTGGTGGTGGTGGTGGTGGGTACAGGGAGGACGGTGGTGGTGGTGGTGGTGGTGGTGGGTACAGGGAGGACGGTGGTGGTGGTGGTGGGTACAGGGAGGACGGTGGTGGTGGTGGTGGTGGTGGTGGGTACAGGGAGGACGGTGGTGGTGGTGGTGGTGGTGGGTACAGGGAGGACGGTGGTGGTGGTGGTGATTGTAGATGGTGGTGGTGGTGATTTTGTATTTGGTGGAAGCACAGTTCCCTCTGCGGAAGCATAGTTCCCGCTCAGCCCAGTCAAAACTGTTCGCTGCTCTGGCACCCCAATGGTGGAACAAGCTCCCTCACGACGCCAGGACAGCGGAGTCACTCACCACCTTCCGGAGACACTTGAAACCCCACCTCTTTAAGGAATACCTGGGATAGGATAAAGTAATCCTTCTACCCCCCCTTACCCCACCCCAAAGAAAAATAATAAAAATACATATTGTAAAGTGGTTGTCCCACTGGCTATCATAAGGTGAATGCACCAATTTGTAAGTCGCTCTGGATAAGAGCGTCTGCTAAATGACGTTAATGTAAAAATGTAATGTAAATGGTGTGATTGTAGTTGGTGGTGGTGATTATAGGTGGTGGTGATTATAGGTGGGGTGGTGATTATAGGTGGTGGTGGTGGTGGTGATTTATAGATGGGGGTGGTGATTATAGGTGGTGGTGGTGATTTATAGATGGGGGTGGTGATTATAGGTGGTGGTGGTGATTTATAGATGGGGGTGGTGATTATAGGTGGTGGTGGTGATTTATAGATGGGGGTGGTGATTATAGGTGGTGGTGATTGTAGTTGGTGATGATGAGCTGGACGATGATGATGGTGGTGGGTTGGTTTGACCTTGTGTTGGGGTAATAAGTGTTGTGACAGTGTAATGTATGAGAGATGTGCAGTGGAGAGAGAGACGTGTTATTCTGGGGTAAACCAGGAGTTGATCATAGACATCTGCTCCTCACTGCTGTCTTCAAACATTACATAAACTGTGGAATGTTTTGTCAACTTTGACGTGTTTTTAATTGAACATTTATTAACCTGCATGATGTTGCTACGAGATGTTGATTTACCTGGGTAACGAGGAATTATGCAGGGTGTTGATGGGTGTTGTCCGTCCTTGTTGCAGTGGGTTGATAGTTCCTGAGCGCTATGGCAACGAGACGGTTCCGGAGGTGGTGTCACAGTCCGGTTACGCCCTCCTCCACTTCTTCAGCGACGCTGCTTATAACCTGACCGGCTTCAACATCTCATATAGGTAACCCTTAACCCCTGACCTTATAACCTGACCGGCTTCAACATCTCATATAGGTAACCCTTAACCCCTGACCTTATAACCTGACCGGCTTCAACATCTCATATAGGTAACCCTTAACCCCTGACCTCTATCCCCTGACCTTATAACCTGACTGGCTTCAACATCTCATATAGGTAACCCTTAACCCCTGACCTTATAACCTGACCGGCTTCAACATCTCATATAGGTAACCCTTAACCCCTGACCTTATAACCTGACTGGCTTCAACATCTCATATAGGTAACCCTTAACCCCTGACCTTATAACCTGACTGGCTTCAACATCTCATATAGGTAACCCTTAACCCCTGACCTTATAACCTGACTGGCTTCAACATCTCATATAGGTAACCCTTAACCCCTGACCTTATAACCTGACTGGCTTCAACATCTCATATAGGTAACCCTTAACCCCTGACCTCTATCCCCTGACCTTATAACCTGACAGGCTTCAACATCTCATATAGGTAACCCTTAACCCCTGACCTTATAACCTGACCTTATAACCTGACTGGCTTCAACATCTCATATAGGTAACCCTTAACCCCTGACCTTATAACCTGACCGGCTTCAACATCTCCTATAGGTAACCCTTAACCCCTGACCTTATAACCTGACCTTATAACCTGACTGGCTTCAACATCTCATATAGGTAACCCTTAACCCCTGACCTTATAACCTGACCGGCTTCAACATCTCATATAGGTAACCCTTAACCCCTGACCTTATAACCTGACCGGCTTCAACATCTCATATAGGTAACCCTTAACCCCTGACCTCTATCCCCTGACCTTATAACCTGACCGGCTTCAACATCTCATATAGGTAACCCTTAACCCCTGACCTTATAACCTGACCGGCTTCAACATCTCCTATAGGTAACCCTTAACCCCTGACCTTATAACCTGACCGGCTTCAACATCTCATATAGGTAACCCTTAACCCCTGACCTCTATCCCTGACCTTATAACCTGACTGGCTTCAACATCTCATATAGGTAACCCTTAACCCCTGACCTTATAACCTGACCGGCTTCAACATCTCATATAGGTAACCCTTAACCCCTGACCTCTATCCCCTGACCTTATAACCTGACCGGCTTCAACATCTCATATAGGTAACCCTTAACCCCTGACCTTATAACCTGACCTTATAACCTGACTGTTCAGCATCTCCTACAGGTGAGTCTGGCCTCTCAGGGCCTCTCCTTAGTACCAGGTGAGTCTGGCCTCTCAGGGCCTCTCCTTAGTAACAGGTGAGTCTGGCCTCTCAGGGCCTCTTCTTAGTACCAGGTGAGTCTGGCCTCTCAGGGCCTCTTCTTAGTAACCAGGTGAGTCTGGCCTCTCAGGGCCTCTTCTTAGTAACAGGTTGAAATCTTGGCCTCTCAGGGCCTCTCCTTAGTACCAGGTGAGTCTGGCCTCTCAGGGCCTCTTCTTAGTACCAGGTGAGTCTGGCCTCACAGGGCCTCTCCTTAGTAACAGGTGAGTCTGGCCTCTCAGGGCCTCTCCTTAGTAACAGGTGAGTCTGGCCTCTCAGGGCCTCTCCTTAGTAACAGGTGAGCCAGTCACTGCAGCAGGGCCTCTTCTTAGAAACAGGTGAGCCAGTCGCTGCAGCAGCTCTTCTTAGTAACAGGTGAGCCAGTCGCTGCAGCAGGGCCTCTTCTTAGTAACAGGTGAGCCAGTCACTGCAGCAGGGCCTCTTCTTAGTAACAGGTGAGCCAGTCACTGCAGCAGGGCCTCTTCTTAGTAACAGGTGAGCCAGTCGCTGCAGCAGGGCCTCTTCTTAGTAACAGGTGAGCCAGTCGCTGCAGCAGCTCTTCTTAGTAACAGGTGAGCCAGTCGCTGCAGCAGGGCCTCTTCTTAGTAACAGGTGAGCCAGTAGCTGCAGGGCCTCTTCTTAGTAACAGGTGAGCCAGTCGCTGCAGCAGGGCCTCTTCTTAGTAACAGGTGAGCCAGTCGCTGCAGCAGGGCCTCTTCTTAGTAACAGGTGAGCCAGTCGCTGCAGCAGGGCCTCTTCTTAGTAACAGGTGAGCCAGTCGCTGCAGCAGGGCCTCTTCTTAGTAACAGGTGAGCCAGTCGCTGCAGCAGGGCCTCTTCTTAGTAACAGGTGAGCCAGTCGCTGCAGCAGGGCCTCTTCTTAGTAACAGGTGAGCCAGTCGCTGCAGCAGGGCCTCTTCTTAGTAACAGGTGAGCCAGTCGCTGCAGCAGGGCCTCTTCTTAGTAACAGGTGAGCCAGTCCGCTGCAGCAGGGCCTCTTCTTAGTAACAGGTGAGCCAGTCGCTGCAGCAGGGCCTCTTCTTAGTAACAGGTGAGCCAGTCGCTGCAGCAGGGCCTCTTCTTAGTAACAGGTGAGCCAGTCGCTGCAGCAGGGCTTCTTAGTAACAGGTGAGCCAGTCGCTGCAGCAGGGCCTCTTCTTAGTAACAGGTGAGCCAGTCGCTGCAGCAGGGCCTCTTCTTAGTAACAGGTGAGCCAGTCGCTGCAGCAGGGCCTCTTCTTAGTAACAGGTGAGCCAGTCACTGCAGCAGGGCCTCTTCTTAGTAACAGGTGAGCCAGTCGCTGCAGCAGGGCTTCTTAGTAACAGGTGAGCCAGTCGCTGCAGCAGGGCCTCTTCTTAGTAACAGGTGAGCCAGTCGCTGCAGCAGGGCCTCTTCTTAGTAACAGGTGAGCCAGTCGCTGCAGCAGGGCCTCTTCTTAGTAACAGGTGAGCCAGTCGCTGCAGCAGGGCTTCTTAGTAACAGGTGAGCCAGTCGCTGCAGCAGGGCCTCTTCTTAGTAACAGGTGAGCCAGTCGCTGCAGCAGGGCCTCTTCTTAGTAACAGGTGAGCCAGTCGCTGCAGCAGGGCCTCTTCTTAGTAACAGGTGAGCCAGTCGCTGCAGCTGCTCTTCTTAGTAACAGGTGAGCCAGTCGCTGCAGCTGCTCTTCTTAGTAACAGGTGAGCCAGTCGCTGCAGCAGGGCCTCTTCTTAGTAACAGGTGAGCCAGTCGCTGCAGCAGCTCTTCTTAGTAACAGGTGAGCCAGTCGCTGCAGCAGCTCTTCTTAGTAACAGGTGAGCCAGTCGCTGCAGCAGGGCCTCTTCTTAGTAACAGGTGAGCCAGTCGCTGCAGCAGCTCTTCTTAGTAACAGGTGAGCCAGTCGCTGCAGCAGCTCTTCTTAGTAACAGGTGAGCCAGTCACTGCAGCAGGGCCTCTTCTTAGTAACAGGTGAGCCAGTCGCTGCAGCAGGGCCTCTTCTTAGTAACAGGTGAGCCAGTCACTGCAGCAGGGCCTCTTCTTAGTAACAGGTGAGCCAGTCTCTGCAGCAGGGCCTCTTCTTAGTAACAGGTGAGCCAGTCGCTGCAGCAGGGCCTCTTCTTAGTAACAGGTGAGCCAGTCGCTGCAGCAGGGCCTCTTCTTAGTAACAGGTGAGCCAGTCGCTGCAGCAGGGCCTCTTCTTAGTAACAGGTGAGCCAGTCGCTGCAGCAGGGCCTCTTCTTAGTAACAGGTGAGCCAGTCGCTGCAGCAGGGCCTCTTCTTAGTAGCAGCAGGGCCTCTTCTTAGTAACAGGTGAGCCAGTCGCTGCAGCTGCTCTTCTTAGTAACAGGTGAGCCAGTCGCTGCAGCAGGGCCTCTTATTAGTAACAGGTGAGCCAGTCGCTGCAGCAGGGCCTCTTCTTAGTAACAGGTGAGCCAGTCGCTGCAGCAGGGCCTCTTCTTAGTAACAGGTGAGCCAGCCAGTCAGCAGCTCTTCACCAAAAGAGGAAAGGTGCCACTTTGTTTTGTAAAACTGTATAAATATAGAAGGGAGTAGCAGGAAGAGGTTAGTTAGTTAGTTAGTTAGATGAGTTAGTTAACCAGGCTGGTTAGCCATGACCCTGACATCTGTGAAGGGCACGACACAAACTACCCAGTGTCTCTCTCTGTAGTGTCTCATCGGGCCCCAGTGTCTCTCTCTCTCTGTAGTGTCTCATAGGGCCCCAGTGTCTCTCTCGCTCTCTGTAGTGTCTCATAGGGCCCCAGTGTCTCTCTCTCTGTAGTGTCTCATAGGGCCCCAGTGTCTCTCTATCTGTAGTGTCTCATAGGGCCCCAGTGTCTCTCTCGCTCTCTGTAGTGTCTCATAGGGCCCCAGTGTCTCTCTCTCTGTAGTGTCTCATAGGGCCCCAGTGTCTCTCTCTCTCTCTGTAGTGTCTCATCGGGCCCCAGTGTCTCTCTCTCTGTAGTGTCTCATAGGGCCCCAGTGTCTCTCTCTCTCTGTAGTGTCTCATCAGGCCCCAGTGTCTCTCTCTCTGTAGTGTCTCATCAGGCCCCAGTGTCTCTCTCTCTGTAGTGTCTCATCAGGCCCCAGTGTCTCTCTCTCTGTGGTGTCTCATAGGGCCCCAGTGTCTCTCTCTCTCTGTAGTGTCTCATCAGGCCCCAGTGTCTCTCTCTCTCTCTCGTGTCTCATCAGGCCCCAGTGTCTCTCTCTCTCTGTAGTGTCTCATCAGGCCCCAGTGTCTCTCTCTCTCTGTAGTGTCTCATCAGGCCCCAGTGTCTCTCTCTCTCGTGTCTCATCAGGCCCCAGTGTCTCTCTCTCTGTAGTGTCTCATCAGGCCCCAGTGTCTCTCTCTCTCTGTAGTGTCTCATCAGGCCCCAGTGTCTCTCTCTCTGTAGTGTCTCATCAGGCCCCAGTGTCTCTCTCTCTGTGGTGTCTCATAGGGCCCCAGTGTCTCTCTCTCTCTGTAGTGTCTCATCGGGCCCCAGTGTCTCTCTCTCTCTCTCGTGTCTCATCGGGCCCCAGTGTCTCTCTCTCTCTCTCGTGTCTCAAAGAGCCGAGCCCAAACATCAAACCTTTCGACTGCTGCTGCCAGAACATGAGAGAACCAGACTCTTGCTCCAAAACATTTTGTTCTCAGGAATTTGTTGCTCTAGTAAAAAATCCCAGCTTTCTATCCCCCGTGTTGCTGTAATTCTACATTTTACAGGATTTGATGTTGTAGAGTTTTATATTATGAACCCCTTTGTCTCCTCCTCCTCATTAGCATACAGAATTAAACAATCAATCAGTATATTTAAATACCTTCTAACCTCATTCATCCATCGTTCTCTCTCTTACCTGTCTTTTTATCTCTCTCTCTCCCCCTTTCACCTCTCTCTGCCTCCCCTCCCCCAGGGTGAACACGTGTCCTAACAGCTGTTCTGGCCGAGGGGAGTGTCGCGTTGGGAACTCAACAGGTGCTGTGTATTGTGACTGTGATCCCAACTGGAAGGGCGAGGCCTGTGATATCCCATACTGCCTGTCAGACTGTGGATGGCCTGACGGGGGACACTGCTCTCAGGACACAAAGACATGTCGATGCCAGCCTGGGTGGCAAGGTGGGCACAGTCTCTATCTAACAACAAGCCTGGTGGGCACGGTCTCTATCTAACAACAAGCCTGGTGGGCACGGTCTCTATCTAACAACAAGCCTGGTGGGCACGGTCTCTATCTAACAACAAGCCTGGTGGGCACAGTCTCTATCTAACAACAAGCCCGTATTCAATAATCATTTCAGAGTATTTATGCTGATCTAGTCTTCCCCCAGTCAATATAATCTGATCTAAAAGTCCAAACGGATCCTAGATCAGAGCTCTTACCCTCAGCCACTAATGTTATTGACCTCTATAACCAAACTGTGCATTTTCTGATTGTATTCCACATATATGAGACTCATCACATTGTCTATGACCTTCTACATATAAGAGACTCATCACGTTCTCTATGACCTTCTACATATGAGAGACTCATCACGTTCTCTATGACCTGGATCTATTCATCCTGGAACGGTTTAATCCCAGCACAAGGCAAAAACAAATAATACATCACTATTAACTAGCTGTTATTGGCCCTCTGTTTTTATCATTAGTTTCTCTCACTCTTTCTCTCACTCTGTTTTTATCATTAGTTTCTCACTCTCTCGCCTCTCTTTGTTGAAGAACCTTTGGCAGCGATTACTGCCTTGAGTCTTCTTGGGTATGATGCTACAAGCTTGGCACACCTGTATTTGGGGAGTTTCTCCCATTCTTCTCTGCAGATCCTCTCAAGCTCTGTCAGGTTGGATGGGGAGCGTCGCTGCACAGCTATTTTCAGGTCTCTCCAGAGATGTTCGATCGGGTTCAAGTCCGGGCTCTGGCTGGGCCACTCAAGGACATTCAGAGACTTGTCCCAAAGCCACTCCTGCATTGTCTTGGCGGGTCGTTGTCCTGTTGGAAGGTGAACCGTCGCCCCAGTCCGAGGTCCTGAGCACTCTGGAGCAGGTTTTCATCAAGGATCTCTCTGTACTTTGCTCCGTTCATCTTTCCCTTGATCCTGACTAGTCTCCCAGTCCCTGCCACTGAAAAATATCCCCACAGCATGATGCTGCCACCACCATGCTTCACCGTAGGGATGGTGCCAGGTTTCCTCCAGACGTGACGCTTGGCATTCAGGCCTAAGAGTTCAATCTGGTTTCATCAGACCAGAGACTCTTGTTTCTCATGGTCAGAGTCCTTTAGGTGCCTTTTGGCAAACTCCAAGTGGGCTGTCATGTGCCTTTTACTGAGGAGTGGCTTCCGTCTGGCCACTCTACCATAAAGGCCTGATTGGTGGAGTGCTGTAGAGATGTTTGTCCTTCTGGAAGGTTCTCAAATCTCCACAGAGGAACTATGGTGCTCTGTCAGAGTGACCATCAGGTTCTTGGTCACCTCCCTGACCAAGGCCCATCTCCCCCGATTGCTCAGTTTGGCCGGTTCCAAACTTGGTGGTTCCAAACTTCTTCCATTTAAGAATGATGGAGGCCACTGTGTTCTTGGGGACCTTCAATGCTTCAGAAATGTTTTGGTACCCTTCCCCATATCTGTGCCTCGACACAATCCTGTCTCGGAGCTCTATGGACAATTCCTTCGACCTCATGGCTTGGTTTTTGCTCTGACATGTACTGTCAACTGTGGGACCTTATATTGACAGGTGTGTGCCTTTCCAAGTCATGTCCAATCAATTCAATTTACCACAGGTGGACTCCAATCAAGTTGTAGAAACATCTCAAGGATGATCAATGGAAACAGGCTGCACCTGAGCTCAATTTCGAGTCTCATAGCAAAGGGTCTGAATACTTATGTAAATAAGGTATTTCTGTTTATTTGTAATACATTTGCAAAACATTCTAAAAACCTTTTTTTGCGTTGTCAGTATGGGGTATTGTGTGTAGATTGCTAAGGATTTTTTGTTATTTAATCCATTTTAGAATAAGGCTGTAACGTATCAAAGTGGAAGAAGTCAAGGGGTCTGAATACTTTCCGAAGGCACTGTACATGTACAAATTACCTCCACTAACCTGTACCCCTGCACATTGACTCGGTACCGGTACCCCTGTATATAGCCTCGTTATTGTATTGTGTTACTTTTTATTAATTTTTACTTTAGTTTATTTGGTAAATATTTTCTTGACTCTTTCTTGAACTGCATTGTTGGTTAAGGGCTTGTCAGTAAGCATTTCACTGTAATGTCTACACCTGTTGTATTCGGCGCATGTGACAAATAAAGATTGATTAGATTAGTCTACACTGGTTGTTTACCATGATAACATTTGGAGGCATTTGTTCGGTTTATGTATAAAATAAAAAAGTACATACCGGTCGTAACAAATTAAATTCCATATTTGGTGACTAACAAACGTATTTTGACATTAGAAAGCTCACAGTTAATAGTGTTTAACATGATTTAATGGCTACCTCATCTCTGTACCCCACACATACAATTATCTGTAAGGTCACTCAGTCGAGCAGTGAGGTTTTCCAATGCCTCACAAAGAAGGGCACCGAAGTCATTCATGTGACAAAATACAATTTGATTTGGTAAATACATTTACATTTACATTTTAGTCATTTAGCAGACGCTCTTATCCAGAGCGACTTACAGTTAAGTTAGTTTTTTTTATTTTTTATTTCATACTGGCCCCCCGTGGGAATCAAACCCACAACCCTGGCGTTGCAAACACCATGCTCTACCAACTGAGCTACATCCCTGCCGGCCATTCCCTCCCCTACCCTGGACGACGCTGGGCCAATTGTGCGCCGCCCCATGGGTCTCCCGGTCGCGGCCGGCTACGACAGAGAGTAGGTGTCCTTTGGGATGCAATCAGCTGTTCATTACACTGGACAATACTGTGGAGATATTATAGTCAGCTGTTCATTACACTGGACAATACTGTGGAGATATTATAGTCAGCTGTTCATTACACTGGACAATACTGTGGAGATATTATAGTCAGCTGTTCATTACACTGAGTTGAAAACAGAAGTATTTTTTAAATATATTTTTTACCCAAAGTGGATTTCTGTTTTCTCATTGAAAAGTGTTTCTTGTTCTCTTGGCCTTCGTCAGAGCTTTTAAACTAAATATTAAACCATCGTTTAATTTCTGAATGTGTCGGCACCGGGGACTTGGGATGTGGCTGCGTTATTGATGTCATGTTAATCAGGCCTTTTGATATGAACATATAGTCCCCTGTAGCTCAGTTGGTAGAGCATGGCGCTTGCAACGCCAGGGTTGTGGGTTCGTTTCCCACGGGGGGCCAGTATGAAAATGTATGCACTCACTAACTGTAAGTCGCTCTGGATAAGAGCGTCTGCTAAATGACTAAAATGTAAATGGATTGTTTTAGTTTTGTAGGCTAGTATACTTATTTATTGAATTAATGGATCACGGCTTAGCAGTAATGCTGATCTCGTTCCCAATGATCAGTGCTTTAGTTTGTTATGTTGTCCAGTGGTTCTGAATTTGCACCCGACTTTTTTCTGTGCAATAGCCTTTTGATTTGAAAAGTTTTGGTTTGTGTACTAGGCTATTTTGATTTAATTTAATTTATACACTACCGGTCAAAAGTTTTAGATCACCTACTAATTCAAGGGCTCTTCTCAATTTTTTACTATTTTCTACATTGTAGAATAATAGTGAAGACATCATAACTTAACAAAACTGATTGGCTCAAACGCATTAAGAAGGAAAGAAATTCCACAAATTAACTTTTTAAGAAGGCACACCTGTTAATTGAAATGCATTCCAGGTGACTACCTCATGAATCTGGTTGAGAGAATGCCAAGAGTGTGCAAAGCTGTCATCAAGGCAAAGGGTGGCTATTTGAAGAATGTCAAATATAAAATATATTTTGATTTGTTTAACACTTTTTTTGGGGGGTACTAGATGATTCCATATGTGCTATTTCATCGTTTTGATGTCTTCACTATTATTCCACAATGTAGAAAATAGTAAAAATAAAGAAAAACCCTTGAATGAGTGGGTGTTCTAAAACTTTTGACCAGTAGTGGACGATACAGCACTTTGGTTTCACTAATCATTTGGTTCCATTTCAAAATATGAATGTGTATTTAATTAAATATGATATATGGGCTACGGTGTAGGTCGTAAGTGATAGTCTGCAGATAACCAGGTTAGTCACTCATCCATCTTCTGTCGTCCATCAGGTCCAGACTGCTCTGTGTCCGTCCCAGCCAGCTCCTCGTTCTGGCAGAGGGAGGAGTACCCCGAGCCAGGTCTGGCCAGGGCTTCCCACAAGGCCGTAGTGGACCAGGGGATCATGTGGGTCGTTGGGGGTTACGTCTTCAACTCCTCAGACTACCAGATGATTCAAGCGTAAGTACTGCATTTGTATTTATTATGGATCCCTGTTCCTGCCAAGTCAGCAGCTACTCTTCCTGGGGTTTATTATGGATCCCCATTAGTTCCTGCCAAGGCAGCAGCTACTCTTCTTTGGGTTTATTATGGATCCCCATTAGTTCCTGCCAAGGCAGCAGCTACTCTTCCTGGGGTTTATTATGGATCCCCATTAGTTCCTGCCAAGGCAGCGGCTACTCTTCTTTGGGTTTATTATGGATCCCCATTAGTTCCTGCCAAGGCAGCAGCTACTCTTCCTGGGGTTTATTATGGATCCCCATTAGTTCCTGCCAAGGCAGCAGCTACTCTTCCTGGGGTTTATTATGGATCCCCATTAGTTCCTGCCAAGGCAGCGGCTACTCTTCTTTGGGTTTATTATGGATCCCCATTAGTTCCTGCCAAGGCAGCAGCTACTCTTCCTGGGGTTTATTATGGATCCCCATTAGTTCCTGCCAAGGCAGCAGCTACTCTTCCTGGGGTTTATTATGGATCCCCATTAGTTCCAGCCAAGGGAGCAGATACTCTTCCTGGGGTTTATTATGGATCCCCATTAGTTCCTGCCAAGGCAGCAGCTACTCTTCCTGGGGTTTATTATGGATCCCCATTAGTTCCTGCCAAGGCAGCAGCTACTCTTCCTGGGGTTTATTATGGATCCCCATTAGTTCCTGCCAAGGCAGCAGCTACTCTTCCTGGGGTCCAGCAAAATTAAGGCATTACAATACATTCATAACAGATTTCACAACATATTAAGTCAAATTTATTTATTAAGCCCTTTTTACATCAGCAGATGTCACAAAGTGCTATACAGAAACCCAGCCTAAAACCCCAAACAGCAGCAATGCAGATGTAGAAGCACGGTAAGAGGAAAAACTCCCTAGAAAGGCAGGAACCTAGGAAGAAACCTAGAGAGGAACCAGGCTCTGAGGGGTAGCCAGTCCTCTTCTGGCTGTGCCGGGTGGAGATTATAACAGTACATGGCCATTAAGGCCAGATTGTTCTTCAAGATGTTCAAACGTTCATAGATGACCAGCAGGGTGAAATAATAATCAGTGGTTGTAGAGGTTGCAACAGGTCAGTACATCAGGAGTAAATGTCAGTTGGCTTTTCATAGCCGGGGATTTAGAGGTTGAAATAGCAGGTGCGGTAGAGAGAGAGAGTTGAAAACAGCAGGTCTGGGACAAGGTAGTACGTCCGGTGAACAGGTCAGGGTTCCATAGCCGCAGGCAGAAGAGTTGAAACTGGAGCAGCAGCACGACCAGGTGGACTGGGGACAGCCAGGAGTCATCCGGCCAGGTAGTCCTGAGGCATGGTCCTAGGGCTCAGGTCCTCTGGGAGGGGAGGGAGAGAGGACCAGGTGGACTGGGGACAGCCAGGAGTCATCAGGCCAGGTAGTCCTGAGGCATGGTCCTAGGGCTCAGGTCCTCCGGGAGGGGAGGTTAGAGAGAGAGAGTATTAGAGGGAGCATACTTAAATTCACACAGGACACCGGATAAGACAGGAGAATTACACCAGATATAACAGACTGACCCTATTGCAGCATAGATACTGGAGGCTGAGACGGGGGGGTCGGGGGACACTGTGGCCCCGTCCGACGATACCCCGGACAGGGCCAACCAGGCAGGATATAACCCCACCCACTTTATCAAAGCACAGCCCCCCACACCACTAGAGGGATATCAACCACCAACTACTACCCTGAGACAAGGCTGAGTATAGACCACAACCTACTACCCTGAGACAAGGCTGAGTATAGCCCACGAAGATCTCCTCCACTGCACAACCCCAAGGGGGCGACAAACCTGTCAGGAAGATCACGTCAGTGACTCAACCCACTCAAGTGATGCACCCCTCCTAGGGACGGCATGGAAGAGCACTAGTAAGCCAGTGACTCAGCCCCCGTAACAGGGTCAAAGGCAGAGGGGAGCCGGCCAGGCAGAGACAGCAAGGGCGGTTCGTCGCTCCAGTGCCTTTCTGTTCATCCTTCGCACCCCTGGGCCAGACTACACTCAATCATAGGACCTACTGAAGAGATGAGTCTTCAGTAAAGACTTAAAGGTCGACACCGAGTCTGCATCTCTCGCATGGATAGGCAGACCATTCCATAAAAATTGAACCCTGAGACAAGGCTGAGTGTAGCCCACGAAGATCTCCTAGTTCTAATGTATCCATGACATTCACGATTTCCTTAAAGCATGAGGGTGATTGTTTGTGTTGTGATTTCCTTTACGGTCCGTTGAGCTATTTAAAACGGTATTATAATCTCCCCACCATAATAATAGTCTTGAATTGCTTGCAGGGTTGATCATTTATTATATATATTGTAAAAGAAGTGTGGATCGTCATTATTTGGTCCGTAAAGGTGAATGAGCCATATCTGTTTATGGTCCAATAACATATTTAAAAATAATCCATCTACCTTGTGTATCTATTTGGACAATTTGCACATTCGGATCGAAATTACTGTTAATTAATATCATCACCCATTTTGAGTTTCTTAGCCCATGGGAGAAGTGTATTTCGTCCCCCCATTCCTTTTTCCATGCAACTTCATCTAGAATTGTTGAATGAGTTTCCTGTAAACAATAGATATTATATTCCTTCTCTTTGAGCCAGGTAAATATTGTTCTTCTTTTGTTATTATCAGCTAAGCCATTACAATTATAACTGGCTATACTTATTTCACCATATACCATAATGAGATACAAGTTTCAAAACGATTTATCATTATATATGTTTGTAAATGTACCCATAAAAAATACCATAGTTATTGAGTGTCCATATAGCTGTACCATGATATTCGCATTGCTAACCCTCCAATTGTTCTCCAGTAATTCCCCCGCTAAAGCCCCTCCCCATCCCAAGGCCGTCATCCCAGTGATCAGCATCCCACCCACGTCCCTCCGTATCCCTAAGGCCCCGAGAGGCCAGGACCCATCCATCGAAAACAGCACACAGTGCCACCCACAAAACAGAAGCAGGTTAACCACCAAAAGCATTTCCAATGCTCTCACCTCAATATGGGGAGAACAAGTATTTGATACACTGCCGATTTTGCAGGTTTTCCTACTTACAAAGCATGTAGAGGTCTGTAATTTTTATCATAGGTACACTTCAACTGTGAGAGACGGAATCTAAAACTAAAATCCAGAAAATCACATTGTATGATTTTTAAGTAATTCATTTGCATTTTATTGCATGACATAAGTATTGTATGTTAACGTGGGCTATTTTTAGTACTTTTCTGGGACACTTGCTTGTTTTCATTGCTTTATTGCTTTATTGGAGATCTTAGCCGAAGTAGACATGCTCATGTTCTTTATGTTAGTGCAGGGTGAGCTGCACACAGTGGACTTCCTACTAGGGCACACCACCTCAATGCTAACAGTATAAATCTGGTTCATATGCACCACATTACTAAATACAATAGCTGTAGGATCAGCAGAGGCATTCAGGGCAGTTAGAGGGACATCAATTAGGTTACTTACATTGTGTCTTCCAACGCCCCTGGGATAATGTACATTTGCTGAAGCGTTATGACAACTCAGCGACACAATAGTAGGGATTAAATGAGCTGGGCTTTGGGTCATTGATAAGTCATTGTCTCAACACAGCTTTATAATGCTGTGAAAACGATTGAGGAACCCAAATGATTTGGTTGGATCCCATCCTCAGAAAACAAGCTTTGTTTCCAGAAGGTTCCAAAATTGTCAATTAATGTTAGACCCACAGAGCTGCAATAATCACGTAGCCAGTTGTGAAGAGAGAGAATCCTGCTAAAGCGTTCAACGCCATGATTCAGAGAGGGCACAGGGCAAGATATTATTTTATTCGTGTCTAGCAGAGAGTCAATCAGCTCTTTAAAATCCAGTTTCAACTGTTCAGAGCTGCCCTTCATTATGTCATTAAAACCCACATGGACTACGATAGAATCGATTTCCACGTCCTGACGTAGTACATTCAGGAGCAGCTTAGTAATGTCATTTACTCGAGCTCCGGGACAGGACATTGTTTTTGCACCAGGAACGGTCACATTTTTTAGTTAGTTATTGAGGGCTAAAAGTCTTGTGAAGAGAAAGAATCTTGCTAAAGCGTTCAACGCCATGATTCAGAGAGGGCACAGGGCCAGATATGATGCCATGATTCAGAGAGGGCACAGGGCCAGATATGATGCCATGATTCAGAGAGGGCACAGGGCCAGATATGATGCCATGATTCAGAGAGGGCACAGGGCCAGATATGATGCCACGATTCAGATATGATGGGTCTTTTATTAGTGTCTAGCAGAGAGTCAGCTCGTTGAAATCCAGTTTCAACTGTTCAGAGCTGCCCTTCATAATGTTATTGAGCCCCCTGCTCCCGGTGATAGGTCCAGACCTCCCACAGCAGGCAGTGCCCCGTCAGATCCAGAGAGAGGGAAAGGAGCCAAAATTGACGACGAAGCCGCTGCTGGAGTCAGCGTAGTTGGAGTCAGCACCGCCGTCCCAGACACAGGCAGTCCCAGACACAGGCAGTCCCAGACACAGGCAGTCCCAGACACAGGCAGTCCCAGACACAGGCAGTCCCAGACACAGGCAGTCCCAGTGATGAAGGCGCAGGTAGATCAGGCACCAGTGCAGTGAAGCTATTCCTCATGTCAATCTGCTCCGAACCTCTCGCTGTTACTCCAGTCCGCTTAGCAGCATGCCGCTGCCTTCGGTTTCCACGACTTGTGACATGGGACCAGCACTGATTGGAACATTCTTCTTGCTGTTCTCATTACAAGATGGCGGAGGAGAACAGATGGAGACAACTTGGCAGGGAAGTTCCAGGTAGCATCGGCCATTCGGATAGGGACAGACGACAATTCGTGGAAACATCCATTTGGCCCGAGCGGCGTCCTGCCGTAGTAGTTGAGAACGAGAAAGTTCCAATTTGCGTTTTCCCCATAAATTCGTGCAGAATTTAGGTTTGTTTGCTAAGCATAGCCACCTCATTCCTGTAGTCCTCCGCTAGCAAACAATTGCCACATTGGAACTCCGGATTGTTAATATTTTCCCGGACAAGAGCGTAATAAACACAGCTTCTACAGCTCTGGAAACGTTTGTTAGCTATTCCAGGCAAAGCGGGCTCCATTATAACCTGGTTAGCTAGCCTTCTACAGCGCTGGAAACGTTTGTTAGCTATTCCAGGCAAAGCGGGCTCCATTATAACCTGGTTAGCTAGCCTTCTACAGCGCTGGAAACGTTTGTTAGCTATTCCCAGGCCAAAGCGGGGCTCCATTATAACCTGGTTAGCTAGCCTTCTGTCTACAGCGACTGGAAATGTTTGTTAGCTATTCCAGGCAAGCGGGCCTCCATTCACAAACCTGGTTAGCTAGCCTTCTACAGCTTCTGGAAACGTCCTGGTTAGCTATTCCATGGGCCAAAGCGGGCTCCATTACAAACCTGGTTAGCTAGCCTTCTACAAAGCGCTGGTGGAAAACGTACTGTTAGCTATCCATCCAGACATAGCGGGCTCCATTACAACCTGGTTTAGCAAGAGCCTTCTACAGCGGCTGGAAACGTCTGTATGCGAATTCCAGATGCAAAGCGGGCTCCATTACAACCTGGTTAGGCTAGCCTTCTACAAAAGCGCTGGAAACGGTTGGTTAGCTATTCCAGGCATAGCGGGCTCCATTACAACCTGGTTAGAGCTAGCCTTCTACAGCGCTGGAAACGTCTGTTAGCTATTCCAGCAAAGCGGGCTCCATTACACCTGGTTAGCTAGCCTTCTACAGCTCTGGAACACGTCTGTTAGCTATTCCAGGCAAAGCGGCTCCATTACAACCTGGTTAAGCTAGCCTTCTACAGCGCTTGGAGACGTTTGTTAGCTATTCCAGGCATAGCGGGCTCCATTACAACCTGGTTAGCTTAGCCCTTCTACAGCTCTGGAAACGTTTGTTAGCTATTCCAGGCAAAGCGGGCTCCATTACAACCTGGTTAGCTAGCCTTCTACAGCTCTGGAAACGTCTGTTAGCTATTCCAGGCAAAGCGGGCTCCATTACAACCTGGTTAGCTAGCCTTCTACAGCGCTGGAAACGTTTGTTAGCTATTCCAGGCAAAGCGGGCTCCATTATAACCTGGTTAGCTAGCCTTCTACAGCGCTGGAAACGTTTGTTAGCTATTCCAGGCAAAGCGGGCTCCATTATAACCTGGTTAGCTAGCCTTCTACAGCGCTGGAAACGTCTGTTAGCTATTCCAGGCAACGCGGGCTCCATTACAACCTGGTTAGCTAGCCTTCTACAGCGCTGGAAATGTTTGTTAGCTATTCCAGACAAAGCGGGCTCCATTACAACCTGGTTAGCTAGCCTTCTACAACAGCGCTGGAAACGTCTGTTAGCTATTCCAGACAAAGCGTGGCTCCATTACAACACCTGGTTAGCTAGCCTTCTACATGCGCTGGAAACGTTTGGTTAGCTATTCCAGACAAAGCGGGGCTCCATTACAACCTGGTTAGCTAGCCTTCTACAGCGCTGGAAACGTCTGTTAGCTATTCCAGACAAAGCGGGCTCCATTACAACCTGGTTAGCTAGCCTTCTACAGCGCTGGAAACGTCTGTTAGCTATTCCAGACAAAGCGGGCTCCATTACAACCAGGTTAGCTAGCCTTCTACAGCGCTGGAAACGTTGTTAGCTATTCCAGGCAAAGCGGGCTCCATTATAACCTGGTTAGCTAGCCTTCTACCAGCGCTGGAAACGTTTGTTAGCTATTCCAGGCAAAGCGGGCTCCATTATAACCTGGTTAGCTAGCCTTCTACAGCGCTGGAAAACGTTTGTTAGCTATTCCAGGCAAAGCGGGCTCCATTTATAACCTGGTTTAGCTAGCCTTCTACAGCGCTGGAAACGTTTTGTTAGCTATTCCAGGCAAAGCGGGCTCCATTATAACCTGGTTAGCTAGCCTTCTACAGCGCTGGAAACGTTTGTTAGCTATTCCAGGCAAAGCGGGCTCCATTATAACCTGGTTAGCTAGCCTTCTACAGCGCTGGAAACGTTTGTTAGCTATTCCAGGCAAAGCGGGCTCCATTACAACCTGGTTAGCTAGCCTTCTACAGCGCTGGAGACGTTTGTTAGCTATTCCAGGCAAGCGGGCTCCATTACAACCTGGTTAGCTAGCCTTCTACAGCGCTGGAGACGTTTGTTAGCTATTCCAGGCAAAGCGGGCTGCCATTACAAACCTGGTTAGCTAGCCTTCTACAGCGCTGGGACGTTTTGTTAGCTATTCCAGGCAAAGCGGGCTCCCATTACAACCTGGTTAGCTAGCCTTCTACAGCGCTGGAAACGTTTGTTAGCTATTCCAGGCACAAGCGGGGCTTCCATTACAACCTGGTTTAGCTAGCCTTTTACAGCTCTGGAAACGTCTGTTAGCTATTCCGGCGAAACGGGCTCCATTAAACCGGGTTCTAGCCCTTTTACAAGCTGGAGACGTTTTTTTAGCTATTTCCAGGCAAAGCGGGGTCCATTAAACCCGGTTGCCCACCCTTTTAAGCTTGGAAAAGTTTGTTGCTATCCAGGCAAGGGGGGGTCCATTTTTAACTGGTTTTTGCTAGCCTTCTAAAAAAAGCGCTGGGAAAAGTCTTTTTGCTATTCCCGACAAAACGGGCTCCATTTCAAACCCTTTTAGCTAGCCTTCTAATTAAAGGGGAACGTTTTTTTAATTTTCCCGGCAAACGGCTCCATTGCAAACCCGGTTAGCAGCCTTTACACCTTTGGAAACGTTTTTAGTATTCCAGGGGAAACGGGCTCCTTGCAACCGGTTGTAGCCTTTACACTCTGGAAAAAGGGTTGTTAGCTACCAGGGAAAACGGGCTCCTTGAAAAGGTTAGCTAGCCTTCTAAGCTCGGGGAAAAGTTTTTGGGGTTTCCCCGGAAAGCGGGCTCCATTGCAACCTGGTTAGCTAGCCTTCTACAGCGCTGGAAACGTCTGTTAGCTATTCCAGGCAAAGCGGGCTCCATTGCAACCTGGTTAGCTAGCCTTCTACAGCGCTGGAAACGTTTGTTAGCTATTCCAGGCAAAGCGGGCTCCATTGCAACCTGGTTAGCTAGCTGGCTAGTTGGCAGCAGGTGTTGACACAAACACTTACGACATTAATTTAAAAAATAAAACTAAGTAAAACTGGACATCATGACATCACATATTAGCTGTGTGTATATTAAATACCAGTTCTGTACTAGGACAGTTTTTCCTATCCGGCTTGAAGGACCATGGAAAAACAATATCCCCTTATCAGTGGCCTCTGAAAGAGGTGCCGGTTTTCAGTCCTGTATGTCAACGACTGGGTTAATCCTGGTCCTGGACTAAAAAGAGAACTCAATGGAGAATCATATTTTAAGTCCAGGATTAGGATTATCTGTGTCCAGGAATCCGACCAATGTGACCAAACCGCTACCCGGTCCTGCCTTTTGATGCTCAGTGGTCCGGAACTTCTCTCTCTCTCTCTCTCTCTCTCTCTCTCTCTCCTCCCAGGTATAACCTCAGCTCCCATCGCTGGCTGTCCCTCAACCGCTCTGTCAACGCAGTCATGGGACGGTACGGACACTCTCTGGCACTACATGAGGTATGGGCTAGCTAGTCATTATTTAGAAACATTGATCAATAATAACAATAGTATTACCCTCTTATACCCTAGTATAAGGTCTTGGGTTAAAGGTCACTGTCTGCAACCGTGATGCTGAAGAAATGTTCTTTATCTCAATAATTCTCAAAAAATCTCTCCAAACCCTGTGGTAGACGGCAGATTGCAGCTCTGCCTCTATAATAAAAAAATAAGAATTAGGTAGGTGCTTATATTTGTCGTTTTTGTCCTAAATGTGTGTTTTGCATATCCCAACTCCACCTGAGATACCCTCGGAGAGCACGGTCAGGGCTACACACTGCCATTATCATTACCGTTACCGTTATCATTACCATTATCATTACCGTTATCATTACCGTTATCATTACCGTTATCATTACCGTTACCATTATCATTACCGTTATCATTACCGTTATCATTACCGTTACCGTTATCATTACCGTTACCGTTATCATTACCGTTATCATTACCGTTACCGTTATCATTACCGTTACCGTTATCATTACCATTACCGTTATCATTACCGTTACCATTATCATTACCGGTATCATTACCGTTACTGTTATCGTTACCATTATCATTACCGTTATCATTATCATTACCGTTATCATTACCGTTATCATTACCGTTACCGTTATCATTACCATTACCGTTATCATTACCATTACCGTTATCATTACCGTTACCATTATCATTACCGGTATCATTACCGTTACTGTTATCGTTACCATTATCATTACCGTTACCATTATCATTACCGTTATCATTACCGTTATCATTACCATTATCAACAGCGAGCAATTAGGGTTAAGTCATAAACTGTCATGACCTGACCTCTCAAACATCCTGTTCCTCCTTCTACCCTGACCCAGGGGAATATCTACATGTACCTGTCCTGTCTAACATCCTGTTCCTCCCCTAACCCAGGGGAAGATCTACATGTACCTGTCCTGTCTAACATCCTGTTCCTTCTCTAACCCAGGGGAAGATCTACATGTACCTGTCCTGTCTAACATCCTGTTCCTTCTCTAACCCAGGGGAAGATCTACATGTACCTGTCCTGTCTAACATCCTGTTCCTCCCCTAACCCAGGGGAAGATCTACATGTACCTGTCCTGTCTAACATCCTGTTCCTCCTCTAACCCAGGGGAAGATCTACATGTACCTGTCCTGTCTAACATCCTGTTCCTTCTCTAACCCAGGGGAATATCTACATGTACCTGTCCTGTCTAACATCCTGTTCCTCCTCTAACCCAGGGGAATATCTACATGTACCTGTCCTGTCTAACATCCTGTTCCTCCTCTAACCCAGGGGAATATCTACATGTACCTGTCCTGTCTAACATCCTGTTCCTCCTCTAACCCAGGGGAATATCTACATGTACCTGTCCTGTCTAACATCCTGTTCCTCCTCTAACCCAGGGGAATATCTACATGTACCTGTCCTGTCTAACATCCTGTTCCTCCTCTAACCCAGGGGAATATCTACATGTACCTGTCCTGTCTAACATCCTGTTCCTCCTCTAACCCAGGGGAATATCTACATGTACCTGTCCTGTCTAACATCCAGTTCCTCCTCTAACCCAGGGGAAGATCTACATGTACGGAGGGAAAATAGACTCTACTGGCAACGTGACCAGCCAGCTGTGGGTGTTCCACATCCAGAACCAGACCTGGGTGTCCCTCTCTGCCCGATCCCAGGATCAGTGGGCCGTGGTGGGACACTCTGCTCATGTCGTGCCCCCCCTGCTGGAGGGGGGTAGTCCAGTCATGCTGGTCTTCTTCGGACACTGTCCTCTATATGGCTACGTCAGCCAGGTGCAGCAGTACAACATCGGTGAGTGGTGCTGAAGAGGATACATGGGACGTACAGTGCCTTCAGAAAGTATACACACCCCTTGACTTATTCCAGATTTTGTTCTTACAGCCTGAATTGAAAATTGATTCAATTGACATTTTTTTGTCACTGGCCTACAACAATACCCCATAATGTCAGTGGAATTATGTTTTTAGACATTTCTGCAAATTTTATAAAAAATGAAAAGATGAAATGTCTTGTGTCAATAAGTATTCAACCCTTTTGTTATGGCAAGCATAAATAAGTTCAGGAGTAAAACTTTGCTTAACAAGTCACATAAGTTGCATGGACTCACTCTGTGTGCAGTAATAGTGTTTAACATGATTGTTGAATGACTACCTCATCTCTGTACCCCACACATACAATTATCTGTAAGGTCCCTCAGTCGAGCAGTACATTTCAAGCACAGATTCAACCACAAAGACCAGGGAGGTTTTCTAATGCTTCACGAAGAAGGGCACCTATTGGTAGATGGGTAAACAAAAATTAAAAGCAGACATTGAATATCCCTTTGATCATGTTGAAGTTATTAATTAGGCTTTGGATGGTGTATCAATACACCCAGTCACTACACTGTCAGCCAGAGAAATATGCTGAGAAGGATTATCACCACAGCAAGCGAGGTACTTGGAGTCAAACAGACCGGTTTGGATGAGATCTTTAAGGTCAGGGCCCTCAGCAAGGCCCAAGCCTCCCCCTGTACCTACCCGGACTGTGAACTACTCTCCTCTGGGGGCAGGTACAGGGCATCCCCTCTGGGGGCAGGTACAGGGCATCCCCTCTGGGTGCAGGTACAGGGCATCCCCTCTGGGTGCAGGTACAGGGCATCCCCTCTGGGGGCAGGTACAGGGCATCCCCTCTGGGGGCAGGTACAGGGCATCCCCTCTGGGGGCAGGTACAGGGCATCCCCTCTGGGGGCAGGAATAGGGCATCCCCTCTGGGGGCAGGTACAGGGCATCCCCTCTGGGGGCAGGTACAGGGCATCCCCTCTGGGGGCAGGTACAGGGCATCCCCTCTGGGGGCAGGTACAGGGCATCTCCTCTGGGGGCAGGTACAGGGCATCCCCTCTGGGGGCAGGTACAGGGCATCCCCTCTGGGTGCAGGTACAGGGCATCCCCTCTGGGGGCAGGTACAGGGCATCTCCTCTGGGGGCAGGTACAGGGCATCCCCTCTGGGTGCAGGTACAGGGCATCCCCTCTGGGTGCAGGTACAGGGCATCCCCTCTGGGGGCAGGTACAGGGCATCCCCTCTGGGGGCAGGTACAGGGCATCCCCTCTGGGGGCAGGTACAGGGCATCCCCTCTGGGTGCAGGTACAGGGCATCCCCTCTGGGGGCAGGTACAGGGCATCCCCTCTGGGTGCAGGTACAGGGCATCCCCTCTGGGTGCAGGTACAGGGCATCCCCTCTGGGTGCAGGAATAGCAGAACTAGACAATCATTTGTGCCAGGTGCGATATCCCTCCTAAACAGCTGGGTAAAGATACAGGCGTCCTTCCTAACTTAGTTTCTGGAGAGGAAGGAAACCGCTCAGGGATTTCACCACGAGGCCAATGGTGACTTTAAAACATGTAACAGAGTTTAATGGCTTTGATAGGAGAAAACTGAGGATGGATCAACAACATTGTAGTTACTCCACAATACTGACCTAAATGACAGAGTGAAAAGAAGGAAGCCTGTACAGAATACAAATATTCCAAAACATGCATCCTGTTTGCAACAAGGCACTAAAGTAATATTGTAAGACATGTGGCAAAGAAATGAACTTTTTGTCCTGAATACAAAGCGTTATGTTTGGGGCAAATCCAACAACATGTCACTGAGTACCTCTCTCCATATTTTCAAGCATAGTGGTGGCTGCATCATGTTATGGGTATTGCTTGTCATCGTTAAGGACTGGGGAGTTTTTCAGGATAAAAAATTAACAGAATGGAGCTAAGCACAGGCAAAATCCTAGAGGAAAACCTGGTTCAGTCTGCTTTCCACCAGACACTGGGAGATGAATTCACCTTTCACAGGACAATAACCTAAAACACAAGGCCAAATCTACAATGGAGTTGCTTACCAAGAAGACAGTGAATGTTCCTGATGGAGTTAGTTTTTACTTAAATCTACGGCAAGACCTCAAAATGGTTGTCTAGCAATGATCAACAACCAATTTGACAGAGCTTGAAGAATTTTGAAAAGAATAATGGGCAAATGTTGCACAATCCAGGAGTGGAAAGCTCTTAGAGACTCACCCAGAAAGACTCACAGCTGTAATCGCTGCCAAAGTTATTTAAATGAGATATTTCTGTATTTCATTTTCAATAAATGTGAAAATATTTCTCAAAACATTTTGACATTGTCATTATTTTTGGGTATTGTGTGTAGATGGATGAGATTATAAAAAAAAAAAAAATCCATTTTGATTTCAGTCTGTAACACAAAAAAAAGTGGAATAAGTCATGGGGTATGAATACTTTCTGAAGGCTCTGTAAATAGGATTCATATGACCCAAATACATTTACACCGCGTGGAACGCTTGACCCAAATACATTTACACCGTGTGGAACGCTTCATAAAGACGTTTACACCGTGTGGAACGCTTGACCCAAATACATTTACACCGTGTGGAACGCTTGACCCAAATACATTTACACCGTGTGGAACGCTTGACCCAAATACATTTACACCGTGTGGAACACTTGACCCAAATACATTTACACCGTGTGGAACGCTTCATAAAGACGTTTACACCGTGTGGAACGCTTGACCCAAATACATTTACACCGTGTGGAACGCTTGACCCAAATACATTTACACCGCGTGGAACGCTTGACCCAAATACATTTACACCGTGTGGAACGCTTCATAAAGACGTTTACACCGTGTGGAACGCTTGACCCAAATACATTTACACCGTGTGGAACGCTTGACCCAAATACATTTACACCGTGTGGAACGCTTCATAAATACGTTTTTCCTCATATAAAGTTGTGGATTTACTTTAACAGTTTTTCAACTTTGGTCCTTTAGAAAGAACAGTTTTAGTTTTAACAGCTATAAACAGATTGTGCTTCCTTCTGTTATGTAACTATAAACTGAAGACCCTAACTGTTCTGTTATTGTTTCAGCTAGCAAGACGTGGAGTACGTTGTTATACAGTGCATTTGGAAAATATTCAGACCCTTTTAGTTTTTCCACATTTTGTTACGTTACAACCGTATTCTGAAATGGATTAAATAAATACTTTAACTCCTCAATCTACACACAACAACCCATAATAACAAAGCGAAAACAGGTTTTTAGAAAATATAGCAAATGTATTCAAAATAAAAAACAGATACCTTATTTACTTACACTACCGGTCAAAAGTTTTAGAACACCAACTTATTCAAGGGTTTTTCTTTATTTTTACTATTTTCTACATTGTAGAATAATAGTGAAGACATCAAACTTTGAAATAACACATGGAATCCTGTAGTAGCCAAAAAAGTGTTAAACAAATCAAAATATGTTTTATATTTGAGATTCTTCAAATAGCCACCTTTTGCCTTGATGAAAGCTTTGCACACTCTTGATTCCATGTGTTATTTCATAGTTTTGATGTCTTCAATATTATTCTACAATGTAGAAAATGGTAAAAATAAAGAAAAACCCTTGAATGAGTAGGTGTTCTAAAACTTTTGACCGGTAGTGTAAGTATTCAGACCCTTTTCTATGAGACTCGAAATTGAGCTCAGGTGCATCCTGTTTCCATTGATCATCCTTGATGTTTCTACAACTTGATTGGTGTCAACCTGTGGTATATTAAAATTTTTACATTTACGTCATTTAGCAGACGCTCTTATCCAGAGCGACTTACACATTGGTGCATTCATCTTATAGCCAGTGGGACATGCGAGATCATGGAACGGGCAGTCCTTCCCCGGGAGGAAGAGCAACTCCGTCTTGCCAAGGTTCAGCTTGAGGTGGTGATCCGTCATCCATACTGATATGTCTGCCAGACATGCAGAGATGCGATTCGCCACCTGGTTATCAGAAGGGGGAAAGGAGAAGATTAATTGTGTGTCGTCTGCGTAGCAATGATAGGAGAGGCCATGTGAGGATATGACAGAGCCAAGTGACTTCGTGTATAGCGAGAATAGGAGAGGGCCTAGAACTGAGCCTTGGGGGACACCAGTGGTGAGAGCACGTGGTGCGGAGACAGATTCTCGCCATGCCACTTGGTAGGAGCGACCGGTCAGGTAGTACGCAATCCAAGAGTGAGCCGCGCCGGAGATGCCCAACTCAGAGAGGGTGGAGAGGAGGATCTGATGGTTCACAGTATCAAAGGCAGCAGATAGGTCTAGAAGGACAAGAGCAGAGGAGAGAGAGTTAGCTTTAGCAGTGCGGAGAGCCTCCGTGACACAGAGAAGAGCAGTCTCGGTTGAATGACCAGTCTTGAAACCTGACTGGTTTGGGTCAAGAAGGTCATTCTGAGAGAGATAGCAAGAGAGTTGGCTAAAGACGGCACGCTCAAGAGTTTTGGAGAGAAAAGAAAGAAGGGATACTGGTCTGTAGTTGTTGACATCAGAGGGATCGAGTGTTGGTTTTTTGAGAAGGGGTGCAACTCTCGCTCTCTTGAAGACGGAAGGGACATAGCCAGCGGTCAAGGATGAGTTGATGAGCGAGGTGAGGTAAGGGAGAAGGTCACCGGAGATGGTCTGGAGAAGAGAGGAGGGGATAGGGTCAAGCGGGCAGGTTGTTGGGCGGCCGGCCGTCACAATATTCAATTGATTTTACATAATTTGGAAAGGCGCACACACCTGTGTATATAAGGTCCCACAGTTGACAGTGCATGTCAGAGCAAAAACCAAGCCATGAGGTCGAAGGAATTGTCCGTAGAGCTCCGAGACAGGATTGTGTCAAGGCACAGATCTGGGGAATAACACCAAAAAATGTCTGCAGCATTGAAGGTCCCCAAGAACACAGTGGCCTCCATCATTCTTAAATGGAAGAAGTTTGGAACCACCAAGACTCTTCCTAGAGCTGGCCGCCCGGCCAAACTGAGCAATCAGGGTAGAAGGGCCTTGGTCAGGGAGGTGACCAAGAACCCGATGGTCACTCTGACAGAGCTCCAGAGTTCCTCTGTGGAGATGGGAGAATCTTCCAGAAGGACAACCATCTCTGCAGCACTCCACCAATCAGGCCTTTATGGTAGAGTGGCCAGACGGAAGACACGCTTCAGTAAAAGGCACATGACATCCCGCTTGGAGTTTGCCAAAAGGCACCTAAAGACTCTCAGACCATGAGAAACAAGATTATCTGGTCGGATGAAACTAAGATAGAACTCTTTGGCCTGAATGCCGAGTGTCACGTCTGGAGGAAACCTGGCACCATCCCTACGGTGAAGCATGGTGGTGGCAGCATCATGCTGTGGGGATGTTTTTCAGCAGCAGGAACTGGGAGACAAGTCAGGATCGAGGGAAAGATGAACGGAGCAAAGTACAGAGAGATCCTTGATAAAAACCTGCTCCAGAGCGCTCAGGACCTTAGACTGGGGTGAAGGTTCACCTTCCAACAGGACAACAACCCTAAGCACACATTCAATACAACGCAGGAGTGGCTTCGGGACAAGTCTCTGAATGTCCTTGAGTGGCCCAGCCAGAGACACCAGAAAATAGCTGTGCAGCGACGCTCCCCATCCATCCTGACAGAACTTGAGAGGATCTGCAGAGAAGAATGGGAGAAACTCCCCAAATACAGGTGTGCCAAGCATGTAGCGTCATACCCAAGAAGACTTGAGGCTGTAATCGCTGCCAAAGGTGCTTCAACAAAGTACTGAGTAAAGGGTCTGAATACTTATGTAAATGTGATATTTCAGCTTTTAATTTTTAATGACTTTGCAAAACTTTCTAAAAACCTATTTTTGCTTCGTCATTATGGGGTATTGTGTGTAGATTGATGAGGGAAAAAATCTATTTAATCCATTTTAGAATAAGGCTGTAACATAACAAAATGTGGAAAAAAGTGAAGGGGTATGAATTCTTTCCGAATGCACTTATGTTCTGTTCTGTGGTTGCTCCAGCTAAGAACACGTGGAGCGCCGTGGTTACAGATGGAGCCCTGGTGCAGGGAGGGTATGGCCACAGCAGTGTGTTTGACCCCTCCTCCCGAGCCATCTACATCCACGGAGGATACAAGGCCTTCAGCGCTAACAAGTGCGGCCTGGCCGGAGACCTGTACAAGTACGACGTGGACCGCAGCCGATGGTGAGTAGAGGCTGAACACAGTAGTAGACCCTGAACACAGTAGTAGACCCTGAACACAGTAGTAGTAGACCCTGAACACAGTAGTAGTAGACCCTGAACACAGTAGTAGTAGAGGCTGAACCGAAGCACTACCACAACACGTAATATTTTACCCTGAACATGGCAGTAGAAGCCAACTCCTCCTTCGCTACTCTTTCATCCGGGTGAGGCGACAACACATTGAGTCCGGGTGAGGCGACAACACATTGAGTCCGGGTGAGGCGACAACACATTGAGTCCGGGTGAGGCGACAACACATTGAGTCCGGGTGAGGCGACAACACATTGAGTCCGGGTGAGGCGACAACACATTGAGTCCGGGTGAGGCGACAACACATTGAGTCCGGGTGAGGCGACAACACATTGAGTCCGGGTGAGGCGACAACACATTGAGTCCGGGTGAGGCGACAACACATTGAGTTTCCCGGGAAGCTGTGAAGCCAGCTGTAGCCTATTGCCTGATTTGTGTTAATGAGTCTGTTATTAAAGGTTTACTGCTTTTCATTTAATCATGTATGGCTACACAAATTATGGCCTGAAATAAATGTTGTTCATATGGGCAGAATATTGTAGCCAATGTTTGCCCATTTATTATTTTCCAAATTCTTCAAGCTCTGTCAAATTGGTTGTTGATCGTTGATAGACAACCATTTTCAGGTCTTGTCATAGATTTTCAAGTAGATTTATGTCAAAACTGTAACTAGGCCACTCAGGAACATTCACTGTCTTCTTGGTAAGCAACTCCAGTGTAGATTTGGCCTTGTGTTTTAGGTTATTGTCCTGCTGAAAGGTGAATTCATCTCCCAGTGTCTGGTGGAAAGCAGACAACCACGTTTTCCTCTAGGATTTTGCCCGTGCTTAGATCCATCTCATAAAAAAAAAAAAAATGTATCCTGAAAAAGTCCCCAGGCCTTAACGATTACAAGCATACCCATAACATGATGCTGCCACCACTATGCTTGAAAATGTGGAGAGCGGTACTCAATAATGTGTTTTTATTGGATTTGCCCCAAACATAACACTTTGTATTCAGGACAAAAAGTTAATTTCTTTACCACATTTTTTGAAGTATTACTTTAGTGCCTTGTTGCAAACAGGATGTATGTTTTGGAATATTCTGTACAGACTTTCTTCTTTTCACTTTGTCAATTAGGTTAGTATTGTGGAGTTACCACAATGTTGTTGATCCATCCATTGGCCTCATGGTGAAATCCCTGAGCGGTTTCCTTCCTCTCCAGCAACTGAGTTAGGAAGGACGCCTGTATCTTTGCAGTGACTGGGTGTATTGATACACCATCCAAAGTGTAATTAATAACTTCACCATGCTCAAAGGGATGTTCAATATCTGCTTTTTCTTTTTTTTTACCCATCTACCAAGAGGTGCCCTTCTTTGCGAGGCATTGGAAAACCTCCCTGGTCTTTGTGGTTGAATCTGTGTTTGAAATCCACTGCTTGACTGAGGGACCTTACAGATAATTGTATGTGTGGGGTACAGAGATGAGGTAGTCATTCAAAAATCATGTTAAACACTAGTATTGAGTCCATGCAACTTATTATGACTTGAGACATGTTTTACTCTTATTAAGAGTTATTAGTTAGTTCGTCTTATTGATCTTATTAAGCTTGAATACTTATTATTCCTTTTTTATTAATTTGAAGATAAAACATAATTCCACTTTGACATGAGGCCAGGGACACAAAATAATCTATATTTTAATACATGTTTAACTCAGGCTGTAACATAATGTGGAAAAAGTGATGGACTGTGAATGCTTTATGAAGGCACAAATAGGAGTGGGGATATCGTCCGCGATCGTTCTCAGTCATTTTCCATCCAATTTGTCAGTCCCTTGTGGCTTGTCATTGATGGACAACAATATTTTTTTCACCTCTTCCATACTCACTTTAGGGAATTCAAAATGACAATCCTTGTCTTTCATAATTTGGTCAGTTATGCATGGATGTATAGTTTCAGAATCTTGTTGTTTGTATGTCATGCCAAAGTTTATTAACCGGTGCCAGGCACGGTTCTTGTCAATCACTGCTGGGTATCTCACGCTCAACAGTTTCCCGTGTGTATCAAGAAAGGTCCACCACCCAAAGGACATCCAGACAACTTGAAGCATTGGAGTCAACATGGTGCCAGCATCCCTGTGGAACGCTTTCAACACCTTGTAGAGATCATTCCCCGACTAATTGAGGCTGTTCTGAGGGCAAAGGGGAGGGGAAGGGGGAGCGCAACTCGATATTAGGAAGGTGTTCATCATGTTTTGTACACTCAGTGTAGATAAATGCACACATTTTTTTCTAGTGCGGGCCTTGTCTTCTAAAAACGGCTTTTTTTATTTGATTACTAAGACGAAAAATATCATGCAAACTAAAAATGTCAAATCAGGGTGAGGAACAATCTAACATCAAGTTGTAAAATAGTGAACTAGTCCTTTAAGTTTCAGTGACGACCCCTTTTGAGGTTGATTGTACTACGTCCATTTTATAAAGCAGTTATTTTGTCAGACACTCTGATCCAGAGGGACTAACTAATAATAATATCTGTGAATAAGCCCGTATTACAGTGGAGCCTGACCGATTCATCGGTTGACGGATATCATCGGATGTATTTGTATCAGCATTTAAAAGGACTGATATAAAATGTGGAGAAACCACTCGGAGGGGGAAAAAAAGCCATTCTTCATAGAATTGTATTTTGTTTTTGCATTTCATTATTTATCCTGAAGGGGGCACTCTACATGGCTATAAACCTATATTGCCTTTGCGTAATGTTATTTAACTGTCGTTGTTTTCCTGCTGCTTGAGGCAGCTCAGTCTTCAGAGGCACATACTTTTTCTGGAATCAGTGCAGTTTATCCTCACTAGATTAACCCACAGCTTATTGTCTTTCTGGTGCTCCTACATTTATGTTCTTTCTTCATAGGATATTTGGGACAAACTTTGTATGTGTTCTCCATGGTTCTGATGTTCTCCATGGTTCTGATGTTCTCCATGGTTCTGATGTTCTCCATGGTTCTGATGTTCTCCATGGTTCTGTATGTTCTCCATGGTTCTGATGTTCTCCATGGTTCTGATGTTCTCCATGGTTCTGATGTTCTCCATGGTTCTGTGTGTTTTCCAGGACGGTTCTAAAGGACAGCGGGTTTTTCCGCTACCTCCACACGGCGGTCATTGTTAGCGGAACGATGCTGGTGTTTGGAGGAAACACACACAACGACACGTCCATGAGCCACGGAGCCAAGTGCTTCTCCTCCGACTTCGTGGCCTACGACCTGGGTACGTGACAGCCTCATAACAACGCAGTAATGTATTACCACTTATAAACATTCATAACAACAGACTTAATGGCCTGCAACCCTGGGCAGTGACAGATTATATGGCCATTTATAGCCATTAATAACCTCTCAAAACAACACATACTTCATGTCATTCTAAAGTTTGTTAGTTCATTAAAAGAACAGCAGAGACTGATCTCTAGTCCTCAAATCAAATTGTATTTGTCACATGCGCTGAATACAACAGGTGTACAGTGAAATGCTTACTTACAAGCCCTTAACCAACAATGCAGTTCAAGAAATAGAGTTAAGAAAATATTTACGAAATAAACTAAAGTAAAAAAATAACAATAACGAGGCTGTATACAGGGGGTACCGGTACTGAATCAATGTGGGGGGGTACAGGTTAGTGGAGGTAGTTCGTACATGTAGGTAGGGGTAAAGTCACTATGCATAGATAATAAACAGTGTGTAGCAGCAGCGTAAATCAAAGGGGGGGGGGGGGGGGTCAATGCAAATAGTTCTGGTAGCCATTTTGATTAATTGTTCAGCAGTCTTATGGCTTGGGGGTAGAAGCTGTTAAGGAGCCTTTTGGACCTAGACTTGGCGCTCCGGTACCGCTTGCTGTGCGGTAGCAGAGAGAACAGTCTATGACTTGGGTGGCTGGAGACTTTGACAATTTTTAGGGCCTTCCTCTGACAGCGCCTGGTATAGAGGTCCTGGATGGCAGGAAGCTTGGCCTCAGTGATGTGCTGGGCCGTACGCACTACCCTCTGTAGTGCCTTGCGGTTGCCGAGAAGTTGGCATACCAGGCGGTGATGCAACCAGTCAGGATGCTCTCGATGGTGCAGCTGTATAACTTTTGGGGGATCTGAGGGGGAATAGGCGTTGCCAAACCCTCTTTACGACTGTCTTTGTGTATTTGGACCATAATAGTTTGTTGATGTGGACACCAAGGAACTTGAAGCTCTTGACCTGCTCCACCGTTGATGAGAATGGGGGCGTGCTCGGCCCTCCTTTCCCTGTAGGCAACGATCATCTCCTTTGTCTTGATCGCGTTGAGGGAGAGGTTGTTGTCCTGGCACCACACTGCCAGGTCTCTGACCTCCTTCCTATAGGCTGTCTCATCGTTGTCGGTGATCAGGCCTACCACCGTTGTGTCGTCGGAAAACTTAATGATGGTGTTGGAGTCGTGCTTGGCCACGTGGGTGAACAGGGAGTACAGGAGGGGACTGAGCTCGCACCCCTGAGGGGCCCCCGTGTTGAGGATCAGCGTGGCAGATGTTGTTGCCTACCCTTTCCAGGATCCAGTTGCAGAGGGAGGTGTTTAGTCCCAGGGTCCTTAGCTTAGTGATGAGCTTGGAGGGCACTATGATGTTGAACGCTGAGCTGTGGTCATTGAACAGCATTCTCACATAGGTGTTCCTTTTGTCCATGTTTAAAGGTCTTACTCACATCGGCTACGGAAAGCGTGATCACACAGTCTTCCGGAACAGCTGGTGCTCTCATGCATGCTTCAGTGTTGCTTGCCTCGAAGCGCGAATAAAAGTAATTTAGCTCATCTGGTTGGCTCGTGTCACTGGGCAGCTCGCGGCTGGGCTTCCCTTTTGTAGTCCGTAATAGTTTTCATGCCCTGCCACATTCGACGAGCGTCAGCCGGTATACTGAGCATGCTCGCGCTGGCTTCAAGCCTTGTAGTCGA